AAAAACAGTACAGATTTCTTGTACCCCTCACCCAGCTTCCCCCAAAGACACCATCTTCGGAAGCCACACCCATTGTCAAAACCAGGAAAACAACATGGGTACATCCTATGAACTCAGGCACAGACCACAGTAGGATTTCACCAGTTTTTACTGTACTCATTTCTTTTCTTTTTGTCCAACTAACTTTTAAGAAATGACCATTTGTCAAGTTTTGGTGTTGGTATCAAAAAAGAACATCCACAATGATCAGAAAAAGGATATTAAATTACTCCTCCCTTTTCCAAATGTGTGAGGTTGGATTTTCTTCTTATACATCAAGCAGACACACAGATAGCAATAGATGGAGCTTAGAACTCAACTGCCTTCAATTAAGCCAGACATTAAGGAGATTTGCAAAAATGTAAAACAACCCCATTCTTCTCACTAAGTATTTTTGTTTTGGAAAACATAGTTATTTTTCTTAAAAATGTTATATTAATATGCAACAGATTATTTTTCAATGAATAAATTTTTGAAAGGTCTTAGTTTTCATTTCAAATGCCACAGACGCTGGTACATGTCATCCAGATAAAACAAAGGTCCCTGGGGCCCTCAGTGGATTTTAGGATTGCTAGAGGGCTGAGCTCCATGAGATCTATCCTGGAAGCTGAGGCACCTGCTCCCACGGGGCTTCTGGACTCTCTGAAATTCATACACACCAAGACAAAGGTTGGAACTTTTTATTTATCACTTTAAACACACATATTTGGGTCATATCATAACTTATCCAGAGGAAAAGTTCAGAAGCTTCTGGAGTAATTGTCAATACAGAAAATATGATACATACTGTAAGTATTTTACAGTGACCTTGTATTAAAGTACTTACTATTTAATCTAAATTCAAATACAGTTGTCAAAGAAATTAAAGCCATTCATCAACTCTGTAGAAATCACATGATTTTAGAATCTTGCATTTAAACAGATTTTTCAATACACAAACCCACGAAGTGAACAGCAGACTTAAAAAATATATTATTTTTCCAGTGTCCAACTTAATCTAAGACTTTGTGAAGCTGGTTTGGTCCATGGCTGTGAAGAATACACAGATAGCAGCTGTAATGAGGAGATGCATTCCCTCATAGAGAAGTTTTGGAGAAAATACACTCCATATAAACAAATGATAACGCAGGGATGTTACCAGAATGATATATGTCGAAACTGGAATAGAACAAATCAGTGCGTAGCAGAAGCAAGCGTGACTCAGCGCTGAACTGCTG